TCTGCTGCCTATTCCATATCTAGTCTATGGACTAGAGTATTGACAAGCCTATAAACTATTACATAGACAAGCCTATAAACTATTATATAGACAAGTCTATTGACTAGTTTATAGCATAATTTCTGGAATAGTCTATTGGATATTGAATATTCTAGTAAGTTCTTTGTTGACTATTTTATAAACTAACCTATAAACTAGTCTCTTGGCTGATTAGTCTATTCACATATCTCCTGATTATTCCATAACTAGTCAATGGACTAGAGTATTGACAAGCCTATGAAAGTCCATTCAGTAGTATAGAGCACTATAGAGAAAAATATACCTTGGCCCTTGGTCCTTTAGAAAAGTATACCTTAGATTTGAGTCAAATATGGAAGTTTTTAAGAACTAATATCTTTAATAAAGTAAATTGTTGTGCCTCATTTCTATGGTCCATTCTTATATTCATATACAAAATAAATTGCCAAATATAGTCACATGGTAATAAATCTATAAAGCAGATTTTTTACAAATTTTTCTAAGGATTATTCAATTTAAGATGTATTGTGACAAATAAGTTTTTGTTGGAAACCATATTAGTAGTTATAATAAATTTTCATAATTAAGAAAAGAAACTAATATCTAAAATAAAAACAAAATGTAGAAATAAATTTAGTATAGAGGGCCTTATAGTTTGCTAAAAAATAGCTCAAAATACTAAGAATTTATTTCCTAAAATATTTAAATTTTTTTTAGATAACAATCTCCCGTGTTCCATAAAATTACCTTTTTGTGGTTGTGTCAAACTGTTAAACATTTCTTTGATTCTATGTTTTTTCTCTCTCCCATCTAAATCTCAAAAAGATAAATGGTCAAATAGTTATTTTAAATAGACAGATGCTTGACAGTTCAATAGAAAGTAGCATACAAAGCAAAAAACATCCTGTTCTACAAAGACACAAAGACAAGTCTCAAAAAATAAAGCCAATTTAAAAATAAGAACTTGAGAATATAAAGATTAGCAAAATACGAAAAAAAAAAAACTTATCTGAAAACAAAAATAGCAAGCAAAAGAATTATAAGAAATGAAAAATACCTTAAAGCAATAATGAAGAAAAAAAAAAACATTCTTAAATAAATTAAAAATTGTTTTCATGTACATGAAATTAAAACCAACCACAATTATTTATGTGTACATATGTATGTATATACTCGTATGTAAGAAAATAAAAACAAAAATTTCAGCAAAATATTTGAAAAATTCTTGAGAATGATGTGGAAAAAATGTAGAAATTGTTAAAGTTAATTGTGGTTAAATATTAAATGAAACCCATAACCAACAACTACAATAGCAATAACAATGAAAACAACAAAATAATAATAACAAAAGAAACCTATTTACACAACACATACATGGATAAATACACATAGCCAAAAAGGAAATTCATACATACATATATATCATACATACACAGATACCCCATGGCTTTAAAAAAGTATAGCACAAGTAATAAGGACTCGGATTAGTTAAACTAGAAAAAATAACAGTAATTCTTTCAAAAGCAATGCTTGGTTCGTTACATCAAAAATCGTTTAAATTATGCGCCATAACATATAACAAATACATCGTTGTAAATAATTCCGTTAAGGATCGTTCTATATTTTGTTCAAGCTCTTAGGTTTTTACCGAAATTTAAAGAAAATTAATTTGTAAGATTTTATCACCTTTTCAAATTCATACTAACTAATCTTAGTCTTTATGCCTAAAAAAATATTTAAATTAATACTCCACAAAAACTAGCAAACACCTATATTCCCCCATTAAAGAAGCCAGAACACAAACCACATTTCAGTAAAGCACAAAAAAGGGAAACACCTAAAGAAAAATGTTTCCCAAAATATGCTGGACTAGACTATAGGGAATGAAAAAAATAAAATTTGTTTCTTGAAATTAAAGAAGAACGTACAAAATAGTTGTGTATTGAGGTTATAATAAGAAGGCAACAGAACAGTCTGTTATTTAGGCTTAAAGGCAAAAAATTTGGGTTGAGGAAAAAAACTAAGTCCAAAAAGAAATTCTAAACAAGTATAGTCGGCCGTGGTTGACCATATGATACCTTACACCAGTTATGAGTATATCTAAAATGTGTATTATTATTTGTAATAATAAAGCATTTATGTTGAATTTTTCCTTAATTTCGATATACTTTTGATAAAAAAAATGATTTTCTGATGGATGCTATATATGTGAGCTAGGGTCAATTACGAACCGATCCTAACAAAATTTGGTGGAGGGAATTTTGTTGACATTAAAGTTAATTATACCGAATTTCATTGAAATACACGTGTTTATAAAGGAATTATCGATGTTCAAGAATTTTCAGAGCGGGACTTTGCAAGGGGGCTAGGGTTAAATAAGGGCCGCACATTACGAAATTTTGCAGTATCATTAATGTTGGTATTAAACGTAGTTGTGCCTATTTTTGTAGGGATAATAGTATATTTGCCCTAGTTTTGCGCTCAAATCCCAATTTAGTTTTATGGGGTCTAGGTGAAATAATGAACCGATATCAATCAAAATAAATAAACTAGTCTATAGACTAGACTATAGACTAGAGTATAGACTAGACTATAGACTAGACTATAGACTAGACTATAGACTAGACTATAGACTAGACTATAGACTAGACTATAGACTAGACTATAGACTAGACTATAGACTAGACTATAGACTAGACTATAGACTAGACTATAGACTAGACTATAGACTAGACTATAGACTAGACTATAGACTAGACTATAGACTAGACTATAGACTAGACTATAGACTAGACTATAGACTAGACTATAGACTAGACTATAGACTAGACTATAGACTAGACTATAGACTAGACTATAGACTAGACTATTTTTGTACAAATGCACTTGATCAGACTAGACTGTAACAAGACTATAGACTAGACTATAGACTAGACTATAGACTATACTATACTCAAATCCCAATTTAGTTTTATGGGGTCTAGGTGAAATAATGAACCGATATCAATCAAAATAAATAAACTAGTCTATAGACTAGACTATAGACTAGAATATAGACTAGAGTATAGACTAGACTATAGACTAGACTATAGACTAGACTATAGACTAGACTATAGACTAGACTATAGACTAGACTATAGACTAGACTATAGACTAGACTATAGACTAGACTATAGACTAGACTATAGACTAGACTATAGACTAGACTATAGACTAGACTATAGACTAGACTATAGACTAGACTATAGACTAGACTATTTTTGTACAAATGCACTTGATCAGACTAGACTGTAACAAGACTATAGACTAGACTATAGACTAGACTATAGACTATACTATAGACTAGACTATAGACTCTATAGTCTAGTCTATAGTCTAGTCTATAGTCTAGTCTATACTCTAGTCTATACTCTAGTCTATAGTCCAGTCTATAGTCTAGTCTATAGTCTAGTCTATAGTCTAGTCTATAGTCTAGTCTATAGTCTAGTCTATAGTCTAGTCTATAGTCTAGTCTATAGTCTAGTCTATAGTCTAGTCTATAGTCTAGTCTATAGTCTAGTCTATAGTCTAGTCTATAGTCTAATCTATAGTCTAGTCTATAGTCTAGTCTATAGTCTAGTCTATAGTCTAGTCTATAGTCTAGTCTATAGTCTAGTCTATAGTCTAGTCTATAGTCTAGTCTATAGTCTAGTCTATAGTCTAGTCTATATTCTAGTCTATAGTCTAGTCTATAGTCTAGTCTATATTCTAGTCTATAGTCTAGTCTATAGTCTAGTCTATAGTCTAGTCTATAGTCTAGTCTATAGTCTAGTTTATAGTCTAGTCTATAGTCTAGTCTATAGTCTAGTCTATAGTCTAGTCTATAGTCTAGTCTATAGTCTAGTCTATAGTCTAGTCTATAGTCTAGTCTATAGTCTAGTCTAGTTAGTCTATAGTCTAGTCTATAGTCTAGTCTATAGTATAGTCTATAGTGTAGTCTATAGTCTAGTCTATAGTCTAGTCTATAGTCTTGTTACAGTCTAGTCTGACCAAGTGCATTTGTACAAAAATAGTCTAGTCTATAGTTTTATCTATAGTGTAGTCTATAGTCTGGTCTATAGTATTGTTACAGTCTAGTCTGGTCAAGTGCATTTGTAAAAAAATCTCTGTTGAAATTCGAAATAAACACGTTTTATGAAAACTAAGATATCTCTACTAAATTTGATAACGATCGCTTAAGACCAGTTTCAGAAAATTACTTTTACTTGTATAACTGACTTAATAATAGTAAAAATTATGTTATTACTTATGTTTCTGGTCCGAAAATCATTCTGATGTCTATATTCATTTTGAATGATAAAATTCAACATTTATCAAATAATTGAGAAGAACATCGACATAAAATAATGTAAAGCTCTTTTTCAGTTATTATTAACAAAATCCTAGACCTATCTGGTACGTTTAACAAATAGCTTGCACTTTGCCCTTTACTGTTTGGGCCACTTTAAAAATTTCCAAAGAATTACATACCCCTATAATGTAGAAAAACATTATTTGTACTAAATAAAATAATGAAACATTGTAAAATATTTCAAGTAAAAAAGAGCTCAAAAATTACAAAATAAAGATGAAAAAAAAAACTTTTGTTATGTTTTCATTTTCGTATAAATGGTTTTATATATTACAATCTATATAGAGAACTAAAGAATATGCAACTAAGTAAGTGCAAGTAAAGCATACATACAAAAATGCTTAAATCCGGACAAAAGCAAATACAATTTTAAACCGGATGATTTTTTTTCTTCTTGTAACTAACATTTGTTAGAGCGCAATTGAGTGCGTATAAATAAAAAAGGTATATAAACTAACAACGCAAGATTTTATGTAGTGAAAAGATTTTAAATTTAGAAAACTTTTAGAATACTTGAAAATAATAATACTTCAATTCTAATCAATATATAGTTGTTATATTAATAATAAAATCTTATATTTTTCTTTTCCAGGTGATTCAATTATATTAAATTGCCAAGCTGATGGCACACCCACACCCGAAATTCTATGGTACAAAGATGCTAATCCCGTTGATCCTTCGCCTACTGTTGGCATCTTTAATGATGGCACCGAATTACGGATCTCCACAATACGGCACGAGGATATCGGAGAATATACTTGCATTGCACGCAATGGTGAGGGACAAGTCTCCCATACGGCCCGTGTTATAATAGCGGGCGGCGCTGTAATCATGGTAAAATTTTGTTTAACATGACTAACATCCCCATTCATTAGCAAAAAAATATCAAAACCAAACTAAACCAAAGAAAAAAAGAAATAAACATCCTTTTACAACTTTTTGTTCCAAATGCTATCAATTGTTTTTTGCATAATGTGTTTGCAAATTTCAACACAAAAAAAAAGAATCTCTAAACAAATATGTTTTTTGATCCTCTTTTAATTAATGTTTAAATATTTGGAAATTTTGTTCTAAAATACACAGATTAAATATTTAAATTTTTTTTTTTCTAAATTTTGCCAAATTAAACAAACAGTAATGTTATTATTTTTATTTGTTGAGTTAAATATTTTAGTTATTTAAAGTATTAAATTGGCAAAATTTATTAAAATAAAAATAAATGAAACGCGAATATTAAATGCAAATAGTTATGCATTAAAAATTATAAATAAATTATATTAAAAAAATCCCTTCTTATTTTCCATAGTTTTGGTTGTCCGCCCTCTATTTAACAAAACTTAAAATTTTTATAATATCTATTTATTTATTGTTTTTTTGATCCTTTTACTTTACCGTTTTACATAGTTTTATGTTTAGTATTTAATGCGCAAAAAAAATATTTTATTATTTGCCAAATTTTAATGATTTTTAATTGAACCTATTTGCAAATATTTATCTATTTATGGGAATAATTTAAAACTCTATTGAAATTGTAAGCCTTAATGAATAAGGCTTATGTATGTATGAAATGTGTTAGGTTTTACATTAGTTGATTTTTGTGTTGTTTTTAATGTTAAAGTTATTGTAAGCTTGTATATTCTAAATTAGAGTGTTTATTGATTTGGTGGCGTATACTTAATATGAATTCCATGATATCAGATTAAATATTAATTATACGTTGTGTAGTCCATTTGTTTGCAGTATGTTTTGTAATTTTAAAATCATTCTATAATTGAATAATTGTAATGTTTTTAAGGGAATATAGTTTTGATTTAAAATTATGTATTCCATGCACTATGGCCTATGAACTGAAATATTGGTTAGTCCATTGACTAGTTCATGAACTAATTGATCTGCGTACAAAGCTATGAAATGACATTTTTACAATCTATCTTGTAGTCCATCAAAATTCTATGGACTTGCAACGATTTTTGTTTTGTTTTTAATGTTAAAGTTATTTATAGTCTGGATATTCAAAATTAGAGTGTTTATTGATTTGGTGACGTATACTTAATATGAATTCCATGATATCAGATTAAATATTGATTATACGTTGTGTAGTCCATTTGTTTGCAGTGTGATTTAAATTTGAAAAACATTTTATAATTGAATAATTGTAATGTGTTTTTAAGGAAATATGAGATATGAATGTGTCTTGTGACAATTCAATATAATAGTTTATCTATGGACTAGTCTATAGACTAAACTATTGACTTGTCTATCAACAAGTTTATGAAATTGTATATCGACAAGTATTTTAACTAGTATTCGGATAAATCTAATCTAAACTAGTGTTACATAATCAATTGATTATTTTACTCACTAGTTAATTTACCAATCTATGTACTATCTATTAAGCTTCCAGGCAGAAGTTCGAGCAATAACGGAATGTATAAATTGGATTAGAATAAATAAATATGGCATCCAAAGTCCTTAATATATTTACGGATAGACAGAAGGCAATTAGGGCGATATCAGGTGATAGAATTAAATCTAAGACCGTATTGGATTGTAAGAAAGCTTTAACTGAATACTCTCCCAGAGTTACGTTAACGAAAGGGTGAATGCAATAGCTTTAAAGGGAAGGGAGCTTGTGGTAGTTAACCTGACAAATGCAAATCATTCGAAGCAACAAAAGATGAATTAAAAATATGGGTGAGAGAATCCAATAACGCCTCTTGGAATAATGAAACGGTGGGTAGAATCACAAAGATCCTATGGGGTGACCCTGATGAGAACAAGACGAGAAATCTCCTCAAAATGAGCAAGTCAGAAGTTAGTATGATGGTACGTATTCTGAGTGGACACACAGGATTGTGAGCACATCTATACAAAATTGGCTGTGCGGATTCAGACGAATGTAGAGCATATGGAGAGGATAATGAAACTCTGGAGCACTTTCTTTGCCATTGTCAGGCATTCGTTGAAGTTAGATCCAAGTATCTTGGAAGTGATGTTATTTCGGAAATAACATTCCTGACTAACACTGATTGGAAAGTTCTTAGGAATTACGTCCAGGAAACTGAGTTTCTGAACATTGAAAATAATACACTCAGTGACAATTGTTTTTTCATGAAGATGAGCGCACAACAGGCCCGATAGTGGCCTAGGTGTATTTCTTCGGATTTTATGTACTATACATCCTCCTATTAACCCATCCTATCATATGTATATCTTGTGGACTAGTCTCTTGACTACACTACTGTATAGTATATGGTATGATCTTGTTCATTATGGTCTATTCTATTAACTAATCTAGTCTTTTGACAACTAATTTAGCCTATAGATTAGTCCACTTACTTATCTCTTGATAAATCTATAAACTATTATATTGACAATTATATTGACTAGTATATGGACTAATCTTTGCAACAGTCTATGGACTAGTGTATTTTTTAGCGAATAGTTTGTTGACTATTCTATTTACTAACCTATGAACTAGTCCATTGGCTGGGCTAGTTTGCTCTATTATATTAGGGTTGTATTTGGATTAGTCTATGGAATATCATATAGAAATAATAATTAGCCAATTTTTTGTATGATTTCAGAATTTTATCATTACTATTAATTATAACAAATAGTAGCATAAACCAATTATACTCTCCCCACTATAGTAGAGTATAATATAAAGACAACATTGCCAACATCTAATGGTGTTAATAATCATAATACAACTACAAAAGTACAAGAACACAAAACTCGTTTACATATATAATTATGCATAATTTAAACCTTTAGGTGTCTATTAGATAAAACAAATTTCAGTTGTATATACCTCTGCAACTATTCAAACAAAATGTTTTAAGGCACAACACACACACACACACATAGTACATACATTTCTGCATGAAAAGCATTAGAAATCTCCAAATAATTTAAAATGAAATATTACATTCACTAATTAAGCCTCATAGGAATAAAATACAATTACATGAAAACTTTCTACAGTGCCCCCATACAAATGTAAATTAATGAATGAGAGACTGTGTTAGTAAATATTAAATATTTAACAACATACAACCAAATGAGAATAAAAAGGAAGAAGTTGAAAAAAAAAACAAAAAATCTAAAACTACATTAATATTAATTTTAAAATAGTTTCAGAAAAAAACATGTTTAAACATTTTAGACTCTATATGAGAGATGTCATTTTTTTATTTAGATAAATGACTGCAAACATCATTACAAAGGTACTATATTTATCATATATTCTAGTTTATATGTGGTAACTGCCAACATTAAACTTATTTAAATAAATAGAAATTATGCCCACAATACCATTAGGACTTTTGAAAAAATGAAGGAAAAGCATATTTTCGACATTGTAAAATGAAAAATTTTACATAATCTATAACAATATCAAAGCTCTAAATAAATGAAAGCAGAAAAATCTACAAAAAATAAGACCTTGTAAAAAAAAACTTGGGTTTTCCACTTTTTTCTCATTTTCTTCATCGACTGTGAAAAAGTTATAAGCTAAAAAACAAAACCACACTTGTTACCTTCCTGCTTCCATTCTCTGTTGGTTTATATACATATTAGGCTGAACCCATTTTTAGAGAATCACAAACATGTATACTATAAGCAGTTGACTTTAAATAATCAAGGCGTTTTAAAAATAAGTATTAATTTTAAAAATTTGCAGACAATTTTCCTGAAATCATATAAATTAAAAATTTATTTTATAATTTATCTAGCTACGCATTTAATAAAAATTTCCTCATATTTTATGAGCTCACCCTAATGTAAATACGTATGGAAAACAAATGAGGCTTGAGTTATAAGTCAAAAACTTAAAAAATAATATTTGTATGTATGTACATATGTATGTATGTTTATTCACATTAGTTAAGCTTAATTTTCTTTGTGGTAAATAAGTTTTTTTAACACTATCCAAATATAAAGCAATATATTAGGTTATATGTCCATTAGAGTGTTCATGTTAAGAATCTTATGAATACTGCTCCATCTATGTGTACTGAACACGAAAAATTAAAAACACAACCTACAGTTCAACAAAGAGTCAATGCATCTGAAAAAGACAGGGATTTCCACTTACATACGTCTAAGCACCTGATTGGCTATAATTCGTCTTTCACCACAGATGTACTCTTTGTAAACAAGGGTGAAGATAATCGTCATTTTAGTGTCTCCTTTGTAAGTGAGAGAGGGAAGACTTAAAAATCTAACTTAAGTCTTGTGTCTGTCTCTTCGAAATCTATTGCGTGACGATTGACTTCCTCGTAGGACAAGCATATATCGGTGGCTAGGGCTTTCTTACTCTTCGCGTAGTAGGGCACCATTATAGGTTGGGTAATTTTCAGGTTGACACTTGGTAGTCGCCTGTCATCCCGTAGATCGTTCTTTATGGTCTGAGAATGGAACTGATGCAATTGGTGAACGATCGGGAAAGACTCGTCTGCCCAACAGGAGATTAGTAATTACTTAGTAGACCTTTTGCTTCAGGAAAGTTTTCGGTGCTGTTGTCATCTCAACGAGATTTATATTGTTTCATGCTACGAGAATTATGGTTGAGGTCCACTACTTAACTTGTCGGAGCAATTATGGGGTTCGAATTGACTTTGGAAATGTCTACATCCTTTGTTACATTATCTGACATACAGAGGGATCCTGATTTATTGGTTGGGTATTTCGGACTACCAAATACGTCTCTAGGTACTATTGCCGAATCAACAGAGCCATCTCAGTAGTGTGGTTGCGCGAGCTTTAAGAGGTTAAGGAATGCACTGGAATGGGTCATTAGTTGTTGATTAAACAACGTTATCTTTCATGAC